ACAAAGTGCATTCTGGGTAAACTTTCCAGGCTCATATCTTCTGGATATTTTTAAATGAGACGTGTAGAATGAAGGGATTTTGAAATGTGCTGATGTCTCGCTGAGCTGCGGTGGTTTTTCCAACAAAACTAAAGTAACGTGATGCGTTCGAGGACCGTCAGAAGGTTTGGACATGCTTTGGTTTTGCGGTTTGTGGCTCATGAACGTGTTGGTGATTAATTTTACTTTTAAAGTTAATAAACGCCGTCAGCTGCTCGTCTCCTCAGCCTCCTGTTGTTCTGTCCCTCCAGGAAAAGATGTTCCACTTCTGGGTCAACACGTTCTTCATCCCGGGGCCTGAGGAGAACCTGGACAGAATGGAGAACGGCAGCGCCGGGCCACTGCGAGAACTGAGCGACAGAACGCACCAGAACCTGGCGACAACAACAGCGGGAAGCGAAAGCAACGACAGAGAATATCTGGTTCTGACTCTGACCAAGAACGACCTGGACAAGGCCAACAAGGACAAGGCCAACAGGAACTTCTCCCCCAACTTCAAGGTGAGACGAGATGTTCTCTACGTCGGCACTCTGATGAGCATATCATAGTTGTACAGAACTTTTCCACCAGTGGTGGAATCTGTACATGATCAGCGGTCCTTGTATTTCTTGTTTGTTTCTGTGGGAATCATCATCTCGTCTCATCCGGGCCGCAAAAGTACTTCATCAGTTAATGTCGAGTGAAGAAAGCAACTGAGTTTACCTGGACTTCAGGTGTTTTCCTGCAGGTCTTAGAAAGCACAGCTTCTACTTGCCTTACTTGATATGAATTAATATTGGATTTAGTTGTAAACGTTTGAACATGGGGCCGCTACAGCTCACCTTGTTGAGCCGGCGTCACATGTCCAGGTGCTGTAGTCCCCAGTGCAGCGGTCGTGGGTTCGAGTCCCACTCATGACCCTTTGCTGCAGGTCCTTCCCCCATTCTCCTCCCCACTTCCTGTACTATCGAGTAAAGGCCAAAAAAACCCCAAAAGGTTTCAACGTTTTGGTTCCCCTGCTGAAGGGAGGTGAGGAGCTGCTCCATTCATTCAGAATGATCAGAATCCTGATGAAGAAGTCACTGATTGGTTTCCTTTTTAAAGATTATGCAGTTCAGTGGAGGCGGATTGTGTACATTCAGTCTGGAGATCCTCTGGGCTTCAGTCAAACAAAACTGGACGTTGAGATGTTTTACCTTCATCCAAGATTCTCCTACACTTCTGACTGACTGTAGGACGGTTCCTGCTTATATTCACACACGGTTGTAGGAGCCGAGTGTTGGTGGGGGTGGACCTTTCTGAGGAGGATCTCAGTGCTCCGAGTTTGTACCTGCTAAAAGAACAAGTCCTCAGTTTCAAATGCTGCTCCAGTTTAACAGTGTGTTCCCCAAAGGTTCCTCATGTCCACGTGATTCTGTTCACAGTTCACTGACTTGTCATTTGGGACCCAAAACTAAGTTCTGTAAAATGTTTCGGCTGAATTCAGAGTATTTCAGATGTTTTCAGATCTGAGTTTTGTTTTGTTTTTTGTATTTTCAACAGTCGGCCATTTTCAGGTTCAGTATCTCCAGAAATACAACAACCATGAAATGGGGACACATAGAACAGTTCCATCAGAACAACTGAATGGATCCAACAGAGGGCACAGTTTTAAAATGGAACACAAACTGTGAAACCTCCAACCAGGCTGGTGTTGATCCAGAAAGTTCCTGTCAGTGTCTGTTGGTTCTAGGTGTTGGTTCTAGGTGTTGGTCCTCGGTGTTGGTTATAGGTGTTGGTTCTAGGT